TATGTTTTTGCACTAATACAGGTTTGAAAAGGGGTTGGATTAGACCCCCAAATATTTTTACTGGACATTTTACCAAACACCCTTTCTTCAAGACCAAGCATTTCATCTCCTCTTTGTGACTGCAAGACAATTTGATTACACAAGTTGACAGCCAAAAAATAGTCAGGGGTTTCTAAACTGATTCAGACTAATGTTGGTGTTCTGAGTCTGAATATCACATGCATTTTGCTCTATCAGGTCAACTTTGTGAGATACAGCCATAGTGTTACTGATTATGTACGTCTACGTTATTATGAATTCTGCTTATCAAATTTGATGAAGTAAATAAAATGACTTTGGATACGTTGACTTTTATTTCTTGAGGAAAACGGAAAAAAACGTCAAGGGTTTCTCAGCTGATGATCCGCAGAAATGTGTTTTTTACGCAAAATTGATTTAAAAAAATATTTCTGTAGCAAAAAATCCTGACCTGATTGAGAAAAACCAAGGACATTTTCGGACTCAACATCAACATTAGTCTAATTCAGCTGGAAAACCCTGGACTATTTTCAAAACATATTTTTTTGTTACCCAGTGTTATTGTGTGTTGGTTAAAGCCTGAGCCACCTTCAGTCACCAATGGATTCCAAAAACACTACAAGTTCATTTAATGGAGCGGTTGATGCACAATTGCAATTAAAAAGTTCTGGTCCAAAGCCAGAGGTCAGCAGGTTCTGGGAAATCCACCCTGTGTCAGTTAAATGTGGTTCAGCCGTTACCAATGATAACCAGGAAGAGTGTTATGGTAAAGTGGGAGATGGTCCTCAGTCTATTTCTCTGTGGAAGTCACTGATTGTAGATCTATGACGATGATTGAACTTGGACATTATATCGATGGCACTTTTCACATGTTTAAAGACAATTGGAAGAAGTCACTGGAAGCAATTTGTATTCAATCAATAAACCTTTCTTTATAGAGCGCTTTTCCTGCTCAGGGCAACACAAAGCGCCTCACAATCCACAAGGCACAAATAACCACCATTAAAAACACACATTAAAAAAATATTAAAATCACAAGTAATTAAAACACACAAGAGAGTTACAATAATAAATAATAACAAGGTATTAAGACTCAAACGGACTTGATCTACTTTAAACGTCTTGGAACCTTGGATTGTCAAATATCAATGTTTCTTTGGCCAGTCTGTATTGTTGTTGTCATTTCATTTCATTTCAATTTCAAGCCCTTTATTGTCCATTTCTGGGTCAGGGGGGTGGCAATGAGAGCTGCCACCCAATGCTCATAGCACCAGTCCCTCTGATCCTCTGCAGGGGGTGGTCCACAGGAAGATGGCTGCTCTGTCAGTGGTGAAACAGCCTTGGTCTTTCAGTGGGGGCTTCAGGCAACGTGGGGTTAAGTGTCTTGCCCAAGGACACAACGACAGTAGACATCAGTGGGAGCAGTTGGAGAAGGTCCCATGGTGGGAATCGAACTCACAACCTCCAGGCTCAAAGGCCACTGCTCTACCAACTGAGCTACTGTCGCCCCACTATATAGTTGTTGTAAATATAAAAAAGTTATACATACATATGAAAAATAAAGACAGGGACCGGTTTTTGACTTTCTAAAGTGGGACACAAGCCTTTAATGTTTTGTTTCTGAATGGAAATGATGAATGATGCACGGTCTCAGGACAATGCTCTGAGACCGTGCAATCTTTAGCTGTGTTTTAAAAATAAAGAAAAGAGATTGTAAGAAACAGACACTTTTTTTTTCCCAACCCGCTTTGACTCATTCGACAAAATACAACAAATAATTCATTACAGTGAATCAACAGACAGAATACACTATGATACAGTAATACACAATAAGAGGCAGTGTTGTTATTACTTATTCCGGTCGGAAAAGGGGCTTTCTGAGTGGAATTTGCATGTTCTTCCTGTGTCTCCGGCTTCCCCTACCACTGAAAACATGCACAATAGGTCTGAATGTAGTGAGTGAGTGAGGGTGTTTGGTCGGAGGCTTTGATGGACCAGTGAGAATGGAAAACTACCTGAACTCTGAACATTGTAAAGCGCTTTGAGTGACCTTGGTCTGTAAAATGTGCTATATATATAAACATTACTTACTTACTAATATTTATATTTGATTTGACGTCTAACCTCCCAAGCATTGGACAGATACACTCCACCATTCACAGATCGGCTTGGACTGTTTTTTCTGTGTATTCCCATTCTTGTATTAGTCCCTTTTTAAATGAATCTAAATAATTGCGTTCTTTGCTAATTGCAACAACATCGGAGGAGATGGTGATACATTGTGCAGCAGGTAGTAAAAACGTCAATTAAGAGAAAGAGTAGTTTTCTTCTGATTAATTGGCTGAACTTGTTATGGGTCTGTGCAGCTGCAGAAACAAAAGTATGGCCCTTGCAGTAAATTAAGGTCTCAATCTGACGAGACGAGGCTTTCAACAGATATAGACCCATGTCAAGGTCTTAAAGAAGTCCACAGATGTCAAGTCGTAAGAATCCTCTTTCACCACAAAGTGCAAAGCGAAGGAGAATGTGTGGCTTTTATTTATGGCAGAATGAAGAGAATACAGACACAAGAGGAGAAGGAATCCTGCGTCTGCTGCTTTCTTTATCCCTGGTTCCCTTTCCCTTGGTGAGATTTTTTAATGTGTGAATTTTGAACCAGATCAACCCACACACAGTCTTTGGCACGCTGTCGCAAACAAAGTCTCGCCAACAATCCCACGGCTTGACTTTGTACAGAACATGTGTGTGTGTTTAACTGAGCCTCTGAATGACAGCTCCTGAAATCGGCCAAAATAACACACAAAACCCAAGGACCAAGGGCCACATCCAGTCCGACCTGTGATCAAATGCCACCTTTAAACAGCCGTTTTTAGTTTGGTGCCCGTCTTGAACAAGAAGTCAAACATGGCGAGCGTTACAACAATTTGCCCCGAAGCGTTTTCTAAGACTTGTATAAATATCTCCAACAAGCGGTTTCTCTCCTCTTGTGCGAAAAAAAGCAGTGTTTTTCCTTTTATCTTGATCGGCGGAGGAGTGACAGCAAACACTCAAGTCTGTAATTTGTCAAAGCGGGTCGTGTCAAGACAGACTTTTGTGAGTTTTTAAAGGGCCGGTTCTCTTCCTGAGGTTATTCTAGCTGAGACGGAAATGGTCAAGACTGAAAATATTGCTTTAGATTCTAAAAAATACACGTTTCATAAAGAGAGACATGAGACAAGATTGTGGTCGTTCTGACTTTTTAACCACAGCATTGTTGCTTCGTCAAACACAAAGCTGGAGTTGGTTTTAGCTCAAATCAGATGTTTCACCTGGTATCCCATTCATACCATGTGAGACTAGTACATCATAATAATCATGCATTGGTTTTATTTTGGACACTCAAAGTCTCTTCACGTTATTATTCATTCTCTCCAAACACAGTGGAGATAAACTACTACTGTAGCCACAGCTGCCCTGGGGCACACTGACAGAAGCGACCGGAGGCAACCGGTCTGTGCCATCGGCCCCTCCCACCACCACCAACCATTCACACACACACCAGACTCATTCTAATGTGGGGGAAGTGTCTTGCCTAAGGACACAATGGCAGTTTGGTACTTTACAGCCGCCCCACTGTGGCACCTGCTGTTCCCAGAGGTTAAGTGTGTAGTAGTAGTAGTAGTAGTAGTAGTAGTAGTAGTAGTAGTAGTACAGTAGTAGTAGTGGTGCTCTTTTAGTCTTGGGATAAAAAAATAATACATTTTTGTTTACACTTTCTGATAATAAATAGCGCACCTTGTAGTTTCCATGGCAACCCTCAGAATGAGATTATTATTTTTCTTTTTGTGATTTAGAGCTAAACAAAATTGAAATTGTTCTGTAACGACGGCGCTCTTTGAATAACCCGACCCGCTCACACTCGTGTCTGTATAATTCAAAAACTATTTCATCATGACAAGATTAGATGTAAAATGACTGAATATTTATGTATTTTCTTCAATCTTTAATTCAGACACACACAGAGTCCATATACGTGACATCACCGACCGACCGCGCCTCCAAAGTAACGAGTTGAAATAAACAAAAAGCCTTTTCCTCCGTCGCCATCTCCTCCTCACGCGTCTCTCAAGTCTCTCTCTGAGCCCATAAATCATCCTGCTGTGTCCCCCCAAAAACAAGCATGGTAAAACTTAAAATTGGATAAGTTTTGATTGGATAAGTTGCAGTGGCGTGGCTTTCACAGCGGCTCACGGCTGACAAAGGCCGACTTATTACACTGCTACAACTTTAACTCCAAAAATAAGAGTTTCAGAATTCCATTGACTTTAGGAGATAGAGCTTGTGGCCAGACGACTGCGGGTTTCTCATGGACCAAGCGACGATTGGTCCGTCTAGACCAGGGGTGTCCAAACTTTTAGGAAACCAGACTGGTCAAGGGGACAATGGTCTAAATTGTGAAACTGTTTTGACATTCTGCCGCACCTACAGCCTGAATCCACAAAAGCACATAATTAGCTATTTGTTTTTTTGTGCCGTGATCCTGAAGTCAGTGACAGGATGTAGGTTCTGAGGTTAACAACAGGGTGTAGCATGTCTGTATTGGTAGTGAAGTTGGCTGAATGACATGAGATCTATGTTTATGATTGCAATGGCTAATTTTGGGTTTGCAAAGCAGAAGGCTACAGAAAAGGACACAGGCCACAACTGGCCCCCGGGCCTCATTTTGGACCCAAAAATGAAATGTGTTTATTTATATTCGACCAAACTGTCCCAGATAAAAAACATATTGTTGTGTATATTTCTAATGCAGTGTTTGGTTTGTTAAATAAAGGTAAATATTAGAATAACGTAAATGTGTTTAACAGAAAATGGGGTACAACGTTTTGGTCGTCCGTTACCATCAATGCTGCAAAGTTCAAAATTATAATACAAATCATGTGAGGTGCCACTAAAAACACTTTAGAGTCTGACAGATGTGCCACTGACAGATGTGCCACAGACAGATGTGCCACAGATGTGCCACAGACGGATGTGCCACAGACAGATGTGCCACAGACGGATGTGCCACAGACAGATGTGCCACAGATGTGCCACAGACAGATGTGCCACAGACGGATGTGCCACAGACAGATGTGCCACAGATGTGCCACAGACAGATGTGCCACAGACAGATGTGCCACAGATGTGCCACAGACAGATGTGCCACAGACGGATGTGCCACAGACAGATGTGCCACAGATGTGCCACAGTGCCACAGACAGATGTGCCACAGACAGATGTGCCACAGATGTGCCACAGACAGATGTGCCACAGACGGATGTGCCACAGACAGATGTGCCACAGATGTGCCACAGACGGATGTGCCACAGACAGATGTGCCACAGACGGATGTGCCACAGACAGATTTGCCACAGACGGATGTGCCACAGACAGATGTGCCACAGACAGATGTGCCACAGACAGATGTGCCACAGACAGATGTGCCACAGACAGTGTCGTTATGAAACAGAGACAGTGTGTTGCAAATCAAGCTTTTCTCTTCTGAGTTTTTGGAGGAGTCTGAGCCACGTCTGAGCGAAGGAGAGTCTGTTTTTCACTTTTCTGTCTGAAAAAAACGCATCGAAAAAAGAGACAGAGGCCAAAAAATACATCTGAGTGAAAACTAGAGAAGCAACTGTTATGATCCTGTAATCATCGTTTGTGTCTGTTGTAAATTAGATTTAAATTAGATTTAAATCAAATTTAAATTAGGTTTAAAACAGACACAATGAAACTTGAATTCAGTTGCATGGATGTGAGTCTGGGGTTGATGTAAACATGTTATTCTGATGGACACTTGTTGCCGTGCCAACCAGGCTCTGCTTCTGTCGACCTGTGATTATAGCTCTGATTGTAGGCGTGAGTTACGGCTTTACACCGACCTTTTATTCAGTCGTTAAACAACAAGAACTGCAGCGTGTTTCTTTTCCTCTGAACGCTACAATAGAAACATTCTCATTTACTCCCATCAAAGGAAAAGTACTCACTTTATTTTGCATCAGTGATCCTTCATGACGTGACTTCTGTGACAAATCATGTTTGTTGTTTGGATTGAATCAAAACTGGACCAAATATAAAGTTAAACACATTCTTTTATATTCAACTCATCATTTTCTTTCCCTTTATGAATCCATCTCTGGGTCGTGACTGCCCCCCCAGGTCTCAAAGCCCCAGTCCCTCTCTGATCCTGCAGGTGCTGGGTCCACAGGAAGCTCTAAAACTCTACAATCAGCTCTACGTCCACACACACAACCCCAGAGACCGTGAATGATGATGTCACCGCTCCAGAAACCACTTGTTCAAATGTAATTACTGGTGGCACGAGCTCCGGAGCCCGTAAACCAGAGCCCGGTCTGTGGCGTGTTTATGTCCCGATCATTATCTCTAAAACAATTCTATTTCATTATAACGCGGCCTCGAAATGATTCACGTCCGGAACCGTGTCCTGCCGACGGAAACTGACTCTGACATGTGTGTGTTGGAGCGAGTCAATCTGAGGAGATGAATACATGACGGAACTGTGTAGTGAAGGAAGTTTTAAAGCTGCAGTACCAACTTTGACCACATGGGTCTAAAGTCGATTTAAAATGATAAAAAAAGTTTAGTATTCTTGTGTTTCATATGACGTCAGGGCTGAGGCGCGAATAACAGACGTTGGACAGGACGTGCCTGAACTTGTTCTTTACGTGAACATGAACCTAAATCAAGATTAAATTTAGTTTCCCACAGATTAATCACAAACATCAGTTGATACTCTGTCAATTCTATAGCAAGATGCCACTTCTCCAGCCTTCTGTCACTCAGGGCAGCTGTGGCTTCAACATCAGCACACAACTAACAAACATCTCTACACTTATCTGACGTATCTACTTTCTATCTACGCAATTATAACCATTCTACAATTGTTCAAAGACTTGGTTTATTTCGAGATCATACTGAAGCCCTCATTTTTCAACCAGAAACCGTTTTGAAGAAGTGAAGCTTGCATTTATCGGAGCTGAACTTCTGATTCCTCGGCCTCTGCGTTTCCTCTTTTCCAATATCTTCCCTATTTGCTCGACTGAAAACACATTTCACCTTTAGGTTGCGGAAAGAAGCAATTAAACACCCCACTGTGCTGTCATTTCTGCCTGTAATTATTATTTCCATCTTCCGAAAGCTGACATCCATGACGCCTGGGTGGCATCTGCACAAGCCGCGTGGAGCAAATAAACAATATGATAAAAATGGCATGAAGATGGAACTTGTAACTCAATCAGGAAGGCTCTTATCTTAACATGAGCACGCATCATACAATTACAGCTCCCGGGGGCAATCAAAGCTTAGAGAAAGGAAGCGTGGTTTTTCCCCCGCTTTAAAAGAACCAGAGCTGTCCATGGTGCTGAATTAACTTTGAGAGAATCTTATTCCTATGCATTGGTTTCTTCTGACGTACATTAGGTATAGAAAATGCAGGGAGTGTGGATTTGCATGATGATTAAGGAAGACATAACATATTCCATCTGCTGGATAAGTAAGTAATCTGCTTTTCTGTGAACTAAGCTTATTTATATAGCGCATCTTACAGACCAAGGTCACCCAAAGCGCTTTACAACCAACATCATCCACTCACTGGCTCATTACATTCAGACGTTTTTAGTTGTAGGGGAGAACACAGAAAGGCCTGGAGGTGGTGTCAAACCCAGGACCTTCTTGTTGTGAACCAAATAGACCTGTGAAGACTCGGGAAAACGCATTGGCTGCTTGTAATGTATAGCGGACGTACGGCTAAAGCAGGATTATATGGCTTTGAACGCTCAGTGTGTTAGTTTGGGGTTAAAAATTGTGTTTTTGACAAGCCGGTGAGTCCCTCGTGCGCAGCGCCATGGATATAACAGTTATTTCCTTATTAAAAAATCCAGATTTAGCGAAGGTCTAATTTGCGAGTTGTCAGGAGCCACATTCAGCCGTGTTTTCTCTTTGATTACTGCTGCTAACGTGTAACTGCAGCCGTGTTCCTCACTCGGGTTTAGAGAGATGGTAAAGCAGAGGATTAGTGGAAGAAAGTAGCAGGACTGGCTTTGAACGGAGACAACAAAACAAAAAGAATCGTTGGGGACGAAGTCTTGTTTGCTCAGGGAATCTCAACATGTAGATTTTTGGCCTTTTGATCTTGACTTTTGCTTTTTTTGACATAACAACATTTTGACTTTAATATACTGTGGTGGTATTGACAAGACACATTACTTTGGTTTGGATTTTGTGTTGAAAAAGTTAAACATCTGGCAAAATATGTTTTTAGAAAGACACAGAAAGACCGGGAGTGAAGTAATGTAAGTTCAATAACTGACGACCTGTAGCTTGGCACTGGAGAAACTGACATATATATTATTAGGAAAACAGGAGGAGTTAGTTATTTCAAAACCTGCACAAAACAAGATGGAAATATCAATTACCAAATGAAAGACATGTCACAAGTTTTGAAAAATAATTTGATTTGCAGAAAATGACTTTGTAGTATTTGAGTGAAAGGAGGTTTTTGGGTTTTGGGCGGGGATTTTACATCATTTTCTTTTTCTATTCGTCTGTGTGTTGTATGTTTTGTCTTAAAATGTATAATTTCAATAAACATATTTGTGAGAGATAAAAAAGAAAGAGAAAATGACGACAAAAATACATGATCAGTGTTAGCCTGGTCTTATCCATCCGTACACTGCGCTGAATCATCATGTCCTGCATGTAACGTCTGGGTCTGGTCCCTGTGTTTGAGATTACAATCGGTTGAATTCCATCCGACCAATCAGAGAGCGCGGGAGGCGGGTGTTGTAGTTAGATGTGGGTGACGTCAAGAGTTTGCGTCAAACGGGAAGGTTGTAGTTTGGCGAAAAATGCCATAGTAAAGTAATCCGGTCTGGTTTTATCAAGAAATTGAAGCCGGAGCAAGAGGAAAGTTTAACAAATGTAATCCCTGGCAAAAATTGTGGCGCTACTCCCCACGGGCTCCGTTAGCGGCAAAGAAGATGGCTAAAGCTAGGCTAAATGCTATAAAGCTAGGCTAAATCAACTCACTCGGGTGCATTACATACGTTATGCCATCACCACCAACCATTCACACACACTCCAGACTCATTCTACTGTAGGGGAAGTGTCTTGCCTAAGGACACAGCCACAGTTTGGCACTTTACAGCCACCGCCGCCCCACTGTGGCACCTGCTGTTCTCAGAGGTCTCCCATCACAGCACTAACCAAGCCTTGCCCTGCACAGCTTCAGAGGTCTGACAGAATCTGGCTTTCGCATTCAAGTTTTGACCACAGTGCAGAACTTGTATAATTTGCGCAACTTGTTCTGATTTGTTCATTTTTCTCTGAGTTTCGGGGCGCGATACCAATCTCATTCACGCGCACCTTTATTATCACATTAGCCGACACCGGCACTTTCAAAGGCACTTTACAAAAATACGTCTATATTCAATTTATCTCGACAGCGCGCCGCAGATAAACACCTTCCATTTTCTCTCTCTGATTTCCATTTTTCAACAATCACCCCGCGTCATTTGAATAAAACTGTTTTTTTTATTTTTTTTGTACCTGGGATGAATTATGTAAGACGTCAGGGCAGCAAAAAAGCAGTTACACCCAACTCTCCTCCGTCCCTTTTATAGACATTGTCACCATCAGACCCGCCATCCTTTTCAATATTTCAATACAGCTCGCCCCAAATCAACGAAAAGCCAAAGAAAAGGCTGCAGAAAGTGGCTCCCGTGGGGACTTTTACAGAGCGCATTGTTGCAGAAAAGTCCATTCAAAAAAATAGAATAATCTCTTTCCCTGGTGTTCACTGTGAGAGGCCGGTTTGAAGGCGCATAAAGGGAATAATAAAGTCTGTATTAGAATTCTGCTGCGCACGCCTCGGCTGTTTAGTGCTCTTAAGTGTTTGAGCTCAAGGCGCGTCAGTAATGATTTTCTCTTGTCCGCGTACGTTTGGGTCAGAGAGCCGCGGTACCGGCTTTGCACTGTTTCCCAATTACTTTTTTAAAGAAAATGGCCGTTCCAAATACTGTCCGTGACACGAGCGATTTCGCCAGATTTATTTTGCCTTCCAATTGTGGATCCTTTGGTAAGTGCTCTCGTGTATTTAAAGTCATAGTGGAAAGGGTTTTTGTTTGTTTTTCGCCCGGTGATAATGTGAAATCCTTTTGCCAAACAGCCCTGGATTGTGTTTTGTAGAATATAGCGTTTTGAGATTGGAACAGCTGAAGAATAACAAACATAAACCCTTGTTTCGGTTGTGTGTTTTGTTGTGTTGATTTTTGTTTGGGTACATCTGGTCTATGTTTTTGTTGTTGTTTGACATTAAGCTTTTAAATTAATGTTGAAGACAAAACAAGTGACTTTCCGAGGCTAAGTTAAAATATTGATCATGAGATAACAAATGTCCATTTCCCAAAACTCCCACTCCCACATTTAAAATAAATGCAATTTGTCC